GATCGGCCCCAAAAATCCTGATCGGAGCACCCTTAATCCACAGCCACTGTGGCCCTGATACCTTCAGATACGTTTTATTTCTGATCGAAAACAAAACAAGAATTTCTTTAGGAAAGTGATCATTACCTCTGAAGTTTCCCAGCAGCTCTTTGCCTTGACTTTTTACATATTATTTTTTTGTTTATAGTTCTCAAATTCAGCAAATATAGCTCTAAGTCAGTTGTTATGAGGTCTTACCTTCAAGCCGGTGAACGCGATGGAATGAGATGTTTTTTTTACCTGCTCAGTGCTGGTTTTGGATGAAATCTCAGACAGTAGATTTGGGGTCTTCTTCTTTTTCAACACATTCCGGGATGCCCGTGAATACAAAATTACCTCTCATACTACGGGGCCTGCAGATACAAGGTAGTCTCTCTCATCTTCCTGTTCTCTTCAGACAACTGCGTCATTCCATCAGTGAGTTGTTTAGGTCGTCCTTCAGCGCTTTATTTTCAGCAGTAAGTAAAACTAATAGTTTGACTGAATTCAAGGGATTCCCTCATAGTCTGGAATGTTTATGGAGATTTTCAACCAGCGCAAGGCATCTATAAAAGCTGGCAAACTTTTCTCAATGACGTCCTGAATGTCCGCTTAGTACAAAACTGCTGCTGTCTGAACATTTGGAACAGGAGCGTCTAGATGTTTGTGTGGCTTCAGAAGTGGCGTAGTTGGCCCGTGATTTCCATCTTTTGCCCATTATGATGTTGTCAAAGCACTCGTCCATGTAACTGTCCAGGCTTTCTGTTTTCTTTCCAGTTTTGATTAGAAATTAGAAGAAAATAAAATTTGTAGTTTAGTTAAGTATTCAGACACCTGGTTTATATGTATCCATTTATTTTAACTGAATCAGCCTGTTTTACCTCAATTAGACTGTTAAGTTTCCTACCATTTTAATGCCATCTTATTCATGCACAGCTCTGTGGCTGACATCATGGTATTTCTAGAATAACAACAATTGCTTGTCTTTCAGAGGAGAAGAAGTGCAGCTTGCAGGATATGGCTAATCAGAGAGGAGTGGCATGCAGGGCACAAGGCTGGAAAATTCACCTGTGTGCCGCACAGCTCAGACAGCTGGTGAGTGAAAGTTGTTCTGGATTAACTAATATTTTGGGATTTAATTTGTTTTTTTTGTTGTTTTTTTATGAGATGGTTGAGCAACACCAAAAACCAGTGTAGCTTTTACATATGAACAATACAAACCACTTTTGCTAAACATTATAATTGCGAGTAGTTTGTTAGCCATCTGTGAATGTTTGATCTTTATCCTTTTAATGATTACTCACGGTGTGTAAAAATAATCAGGGGTAAACTGGTCTGAAAATATAGAAATGCTTCAGATTGGATTTGTTTAAGTTTTCCAATTGTCATTGAAGTTTTGTAGAAAAAAAAAAAGAAAAAAAAAAGATATACAGTGTATTTGTACTTAATTCAATCATGAACTGAAAAATAGGAGAAATTAAACTCGTTCTTAAAAAAAAAAAAAAAAAACATTATTGACCATTATTATGTGACCATTTCTTGTTAAGTAAATAAATGAAGAAAAAATTTAAAAGTCCTTTTATATTTTCTAAACTTCTGCCCAATCTCATTGATGGCTGTTTTAGTTTAGTTACAGGTAAATGCTCTAATCCAAAAAGAATGATTAAGATTAAGAAATTATTTTGTTTTTCTAAGATGATCTTAACTCTGTAGCTGTAAAACTGTTCTTGAATCAGATCTTAAATAGCATCCAACTGCCTTTACTGAATCTGATTTGTTCCCAGTCAGTTATAGCAGTAGATCTCATGTTATGGACATGTACAGGACAGATATAGCAGCCATGTGGTGTACTAGCTAGAGAACATGTGAAGGTGAGCTAATGCTACATAATGCTAGCTTGCAAAAAAGAATACACACACATAATCAACTCAGCATAAAGTGATTTTAGTTATAAGAGATTTTTTTATCAAAATATGCTGTGTGTAGTGAAGCGCCCTCCTAACCAATCTGTGACCTTCAGTCCCGTTTTTAGTGCACATCAAACCGGTTGGGATAAAAATGGAAAAGCTCCATGAACCGTTACTAATGGGAAAACCAAAACAGCCAGATGGTCTGAGTTGGTAGCAGTGGCGTTAAAAGCAGCATTAGTCATAGTTGGTATGAATTGAAGCTGATCTAAGAGGTCAAAAATGTCACATCAACACTTCTGAATTCAAAGCCCATCTCTGTCATTTATATTAATTTTTTACACTTGAGGTTTAGGGGTTTTGCAGTATCTTAATGGGCTGTATGCCCATTTTGGACAACCTGTTACTAAGGTCACAGGTGTGTGTGACCTTAGTAACCATGACCCATCGGCCAGACACACCTGGATCAGTCAGTTTGTTCACTAATAAAAGACAGGAAACAAAGGAGCTGGCTGAGGTTCAGGAAGCAGTGGAGTTGGGCATGGGGTTAATACATTATTTTGAAGTCGGCACAGTTTAAATTATTATTATTTTTTATCTCAACAAAGTTCTGTTTTTATGTTTGTTTGCTCTGCAGTCAAGTTTGGAGCATGACGTCTACAGCCGTCTCTCCACCCTCCAAGAGGGCCTTATTCCAAAGAAGAGAGCGGGCTCGGACGATGACCTACACCGAATCAACGAGCTCATACAGGTAATACTACTAATGCACAGTCAAATATGTTTAGATTTAAACGGATTCTATTGGATATTATCAGTTAACCTACACTAACTAAAAGGAAAGGAGAAAAATATAAATGGCGCATGTTTTGCTTCTGCTTTTGTTGAATGAGAATATTGAGACCAGATGAGTTCCCAGCCAGCTAATCACTGATAAGTCACTGATCAGCCTGTGTTATTTATTACCTTTAGAGCTATTTAAATTAAACTTTTATTTCGAAGACCATGCACATGATAATTACTTTCTTTTTACGACAAGTTAACACATTACAATTATAGGTAGCTGTTTTTCCTCATTTACGCTAACTGCCCTCTGCTTAGATTTTTAACACAATGGGGCATTTCTCCAAGAACTCAGTCTTCAAAATGTAAATATTTTTTTAATAAATTATACGCTTTCAAAAGTGCTTTCTCAAAAATGTCAGCATTTATTAACTATCAGGTGTTGCTTGTGCATTTTATGCCTGCAGGTTATTTATTTTAGGACGTTTAAAGATTTATTGATCATTTATTGATCAGTCAAACAGTTGACTGTGTTCATCTAAAGGTCTAATTTGCCTGCCAGAAAGTAAAGCCTCTGTCCCTCTTTTTTTTTTTTTTTTTATCTTTTAATTATGTTTTTAAAAACAGATTTAGGGAAACATTAAGCCCTCTCAAATCTCCAGTTTTTGATATTGTGTTTAAAATGAAGATTAGAATAAATCTACTTCTGCTTTTTAAACACAACGTACTAAATATGCTGTGGATAAAAGTTCAACACCCTTTACAAGGTTTTTTTAATAAAGCGCCAACCAGTGGCCACATTATATATCACTAAAATGATTGCAAAACAAATGCAGCTGCTAACATTAACAGTGTAAATGATATATTATTGTTGTAAACAGGGCCTGAAGTTAACCTTTTTGGCCACTTGCCATAGTGTTGTTTTTTACCAGCCAATATTTTGTTACGCCTAAAATAAAGGTCAACAACTCAGAAAATGCTTTAGAATGGTTCTTGAACTTGTAGAAAATACACATTAAAGTGCTTTCGGATTATTGACCGATTTTAATCTCATTTACGACTAGATCTACATATTAATAACTGTATCTGACCTGGTCTAACTCTCATTTAGAATAGAAAATGACATAAAAACAAACTGTACAACAAAATTAACTGTACAATAGATTTCTTTGGTCACTGTTTGCATTCAGGTTAAACTCTTTTTGTGTTTTTTTTTTTTAATTTTTTTTTATTTTGGATTTTTACATTTATATGAAGCTTGTATTGTTAACTCTGAACATCCATCCCTCCATTTTCTGACACGCTTCATCCCAATTGGGGTCGCGAGGGGTGCTGGTGCCTATCTCTCTACGGACGAGAGGTGGGGTACACCCCCGACAGGTCGCCAGTCCATTAACTTTGAACATATACGTTTATTTTCATTTTCAAGACAAATCTAATATTTTTATTGAATAAAGCCATATTTCCAAATAACCATCATCTCAGAAGTGAGGGGGACACATTTTACAGAGTGATTTATCATTCTCTTGCATTTGATTTACTTTTCCTGTGCAATATCTATGAAAACCTTTTCCTAATACCTGCCTGATTTCTTTCTGCAATAGATATCCTCAGGAAGTTATGATTTCTCCTTACCTGTAAATACCCTCCATCATTCTTCTTGCTGCTGTCCTCTGGTCCATCTCCTCCCTGACTCTCCTCTTTTTGTTGAGGCAATAAACCAGGGCTAACCAATTAAAAATCAGCTGGGTCAGAATAAAGAAAATCAACAACGTCCGGAGACATTAATCTGTTATAATATACTTTATATATACTTATATTATATACCTATGTTCTTATATACATAATTTCACACTGAAATATAATGAGATGTTTATGCATACATGTTATACATTGACTTTTTAAATAAAAAAAAAAAAGAAAATGCTTTAATTTTAAAATCTTTTTTTTTTTTTTAAGTAGAGAACAAAAAATCAGTTTGGTACAATTTCCTGATTCACATATTTTATAAAACACCTGAACTGACTGTTTTTTTTTATTCTTTCTGTTTCATGTCTTAATGTTCGCAGTGGGCTTTATGCTGCCCTGCAAGGCTTTAAACCTGGGTTTGAACGGAGCCAAAGCCATTCTAAAGCACATATCAAGGTGCTCATTTTGAGCCTGGATCCATGTTTATTTTTGATTCTNCTGGTCTCCTTACATTCAGCCACTCTTTCATCATCTCCTCAATGAGGTGGTCTCAAAAGTCGCAGTTACAACACACATAAGGCGCACCGCACCATAGGGCGCACCGCACATTTTGAGGGAAAAAAAAGTTTAAGTGCGCCTTATAGTCGTGAAAATACGGTATATACTTATATTATATACCTATGTTCTTATATACCATACATAATTTTACACTGAAATATAATGAGGTGGTTATACATCCATCTTATACATTGACTTTTTAAATAAAGAAAAAAAAAGAAAATGCTTTAATTTTAAAATCTCTTTTTTTTTTTTTTTAGTAGACAACAAAAATTCAGTTTGGTACAATTTCCTGATTCACATATTTTATAAAACACCTGAACTGACTGTTTTTTTTATTTATTTATTCTTTCTGTTTTATGTCTTAATGAGAGCAGTGGGCTTTAGGCTTTAAACCTGGGATTGAATGGAGACTAAGCCATTCTAAAGCACATATCAAGGTGCTCATTTTGAGCCTGGATCCATGTTATTTTTGATTCTGTTGATGGTGGAGAATCCTGCTTCACAGCAGACAGTTGAGCCAAACATTCTCTAAATGTGCAGGGTCATCTTTTAGCACGCCATTTCACTTTTCTGCCCCAGTTCTCCACAGTTCTTCCAGCAGTCCACACTTTCTTTCACCTTTTCTCATCATCTTCTCCTTCTTCCCAATCGCCCGGCTTGCCACAGGTTTGCCTGCTGTGTCTAAAAGTAGCAGCAGCAGCAACCCAGACTGACAGCAGCTCATTGGATAATTTAGATCACATGTAGCCTGGTGCCAGAAACTCTGGAGGGCTTTACCGTACAAACAGGGGAAGCGGCACAAGTGAAATTAGACACTGCTGTCGGACAACATGCTGTAATTTATAAATGTTTTAAATCAGCTTGGGGTCTGGTTTAGCCTGCAGGTGGGTCCAGATACGGACCGCGGTCTGCTAATCCGTGACCTCTGCAATAAACTATTGCCATGACAAAATACGTTTTAGATAAAATTAGGAAGAGAAGTGGTTAAAAAGTGCTGCTTCCTTACCCAGCCCTAGTGGCATTTAACTTTAAATTCCATCCTGACAGCAGAACCAATAAAAACGATGCTGAAACAGAACTTGAGGTGATGCATAAAATAACTTTTTATCTGGACAACATGGGGAAGTGTAGATTCAATGAAAATTGGCTATCCAGCCAAGAGTTTTCTGGCTAAGAAAGGTAACAGGTGATGTATATGAGGAATGGCGTATTTTGAGCAGGAAGTCATTCAAGCTCGGCACGATGGGAATCAAAGCTCTGGAGTCAGACGTGAAGAGTGAAAAACAAAGCGCCAAATTCAAGTTACAGAGAAACAGCAGCTATTTCTCAGTTCTGTTCCACCCTTGACTCTGCCAGACCTCTGCAGCAGCTCTGATGTCAAAAAAAGCATCAGTAGCACCAAATAGCCGGATAATGTTTGGTGGTTTGCCTAAAATGAAAGCAGAGCTATAACGGACTTTTGAGTAGGGATCATAACAAAGTTTATGAATTCCATTCATTAGTTGTTAAAGTGTAGTGTTTTAAGTTTTTTTTAAATTGTAAACATTTCTACTAGGCCAGAAAGTAATGGTTTATGTTAAAATAAGCATCAGGTAAAATGTGTCACAACCAGGTTTTCTTCTGTTTATCGTGAAATTGGTCTTAAAGTTTTATTTCAAGGGACAAAAAAAGTCTACTCTTGAATTTAACTTGCCTGATGTTGTTTTTCACCTGCATAGTTTTTTCTCTCATGCAGCAGAAGTTTTTTAAAATACATAAATTAGCTAGAAATCTAACTGGGTCTGCTACAGTGATGCTTTTCATTATAAATGAGGGTTAAGATTGTTCCTCTTTAGAAATTGTACAAAGTTTTCTGCATATTTTATTAGCCACTGAGTGAATTTGGCAAACTAAACGTAATCCTTTCATTGTGTTCTAAGGGCAACATGCAGCGCTGTAAGCTGGTGATGGACCAAGTAACGGAGGCCAGAGACACCATGATGAAGGTACTCGACCACAAGGAGAAGGTGCTGAAGCTGCTGAACAAGAACGGGACCGTCAAGAAGTCCTCCAAACTCAAGCGCAAAGAACGAGCATAGGGAGGCGCGAGGCACTCGTCCGTGCAGCCGCCACTGCCCCTCCCCTTCTGAGAGAGGCGAAGTAGCTGCTCTGAATTCTGGTGCTATGATTTGCTGCATACAATCGCACGCGCCCTCCCTCACTGCCTGTGATTGGACGGAGAGAATCCAGCGGGAAGGCTTCAGCGACCAGAGAAGCTGATCCAGACAGCGTTCTCATAATGACACATTGAACTCTCTGAGCCTGAAGCATAATAGGCTGTATTAGTTTGGACGAAAAAAAATACAAAAACTGATTTTCTTTAAAGACTCACAAGGCTTTTTTAATATTTGTTTCTGTCTCTTCTGTTAGGACAGTTCAAAGATGTAATAATTGGCATGCAGATGCAGTAAGTCTGACTGGAACATTTTGAGTTCATCTCCTCAGAAGTATGGATTTTATTTTAGCCCAGTTTATTCACTACTTTTGGCTGTGCTCAGTCTGTGCCTTTATTTTGTTAGCGGAACTGAATCGGACGTTGAAATGTGCGAGCTGCACCACATTTCAAATTATTCCATTTATTACTGATGGTAACTTTTGTTTTTGTATACATTTATTTTGAAAGGTCACACATTTACCCTCTTATCAGCCCCAAGTCTAGCTGTGATTTTCAAATCTAAATGACAATATTTGTATGGGTTTAAAAACCTTAGGGTGGCATGTTAAAAGAATTTATTATAGTTAAAAAAAACAAAACAATCCCTAATGTCCTTAGTTTTTACAGCGAAAATGCTGAGATTTTGAGCAGTCATCTTTAATTACGCTTTAAGATGAATAGATGTTACAGCAGTTAGAGGTCGTTTGATTTGGTTTGACAGCGCAGTGTTTAAAACAGAAGAACAACAGAAGCTAACTGGCTTGGTGTGATCACAGCGAAACGCTGACTTCATGTAAATCACTGTAAATGTGCTCTTGGTTTTCATCCACCTGGTTCCTTTCAAGTTTTTGTACCTGAAGAAATAGTTTTGTGTTGTGAGTGTTGCGCTGCTTCATTGCTGCAGAGTGTAACCATTTTGAAGTTGCAGAATGAAGCAGGCCTGAAAATATATCTAGACACTGTACATTGTTTTTGTCTGTGTAATTATAGTAAAGATACTCAAAGCAACTGTCCAGAGTTTTTTGTAAAAGTTAAACTTGCTTTATTGTCACCTCTTTCAAAAACAAAACAAAACTACTTTTTTATGCATTTTCCTACATTCCTACTTAAGACAAGTGAAGATATATGGGGGGTGTATGAACCAAATTATCAGGAAGATGATGCTGGGCTTCCTTAAGTCTGGTTCGTTTCCAGATGTCTGAAAGGTGAAAGAGCTTTAGGCTTGATCCTGTTATGTGGTATTTATTACATTAATGGTCTTATAAGTAGTGTTGCACCGAAACCAGTAAGGGGCAGGGCCCCCATCCAGCACTAAAATGGTGGTGTCGGTATCGGCGAGTACCAACAAATAGGGCACCGATACCATTTTGAGAGCCAAAAGTTTATTCAACTATTGTCACCCATTCCAGGTAGGCAATAAAAAGTTCTACTGGGTTCACTGTATGAGTCTTTTTCCTGCTTCACAAAGGTAGGCAGCAGCTTGACAAAGCAATGATGGCAATTATTTTACAGCCATGTAGTATGCAGTTCTTCATATATACACACACAGCTATTTCAAACAGATGGTATCGGGGCCAAAAAATGGCATTGGCGCAACACTACATTGGGTAAAGAAATTCTATTTTTTTTTTTTTATCTTTTTAATACAAAAAGTCAATGTTTTGTAAATCCCACTTGATCTGAAGATGGAACCTTTGTGTGCTGAGCTAAAAAATATTTGTGAGAAGCAGTAGGCCTAAAAGCAGCTTGACTGCTGCTTAGGGTTGCCAACGGATATGGAAGATTTGCAGTTAAATGCTGCATCCCATATTGAACCAACAAAAAAATGTTTCCAATGTGCTGTGCATAAAAACAAAAACCCAACATGCACAAAAAAACACAGTTTAAAATATATAAAGATGACTATACAAACATATGGTGTTAAAAGCCAAAGAGTAAAACACTCCACTGTGGAGGATGATGGTATATGGAGGGGCAAAGTACAGAACAGGCTCTGCCCCCTCTGGTTTTAAGCCTCATCTGAGGCACTATTAGCTGGAGATGGCCCTCAGAGCATTTTATCAGGAAATAAATCTGGAGGCGGACAGTAATGCCTTGAGGAGCCATCCCATTCAAAGCTCTAAACACAACATAATCTTGAAATCAATTAAAAAAGGAACAGGGAGCAAAAATTAGTGTAATGATGTTTTTTGGTCCCTGTTAAAAGATGAGCCACTGCAGAAGGGAGCGAGCTTATTGGCTAATACCTGAATAAAATGCATTGAAGTATTCCAGCTCACAGAGGTTAAAAGATAAAAAAAATACTTTTACCTTAGATAAAAGACAGAGATGATTAAAACACAATTTTAATCATCAAAATAATCACCTTAAACACTGTCTATGGTGACACCAAAGCTGGTTATTTTGGAATGTACAAAATCTTTGAAAGTTCCCAAGTGGCAGTGGCTTTTTTTTAGCAATTGGCAAATAAATTTGATAATCATCTACATATAATTGGTACTCTATACAATTTTAAGTAAAAGTCTCTTTGAAAGGGAGGAGGTATAGTGTAAAGAATAAAGGTCAGAGGACAGAACCCTGAGGGACTCCACAATTAAGGGGGGCAGACAATAACATGGAATCCCCCAGCCTGACAGAGAAAAACCTTTCTAACAGGTAGGATCTAACCCACTGCAGACATTCCCCCTGACACCCACCTAGTCCCGCATCAATAAAATAAGCTAAATAAAACACAGGACCCATTAAAGCCAACTAAACGGTTTTGTTAGATTCTAAGCAGGACCACTTTCACTAGTTCATTTGGTGTCTATATATGTATATGCACACACACACATATATATATATATATATATATATATATATATATATATATATATATATATAACATGTAACTAAGCCCCTCCGTCAAACTCAAGCCAATGCTTACTGCTAGTATAGCTGACACTAACAGTTACCAAATGGGCCAAAACGCAACATAGAAGTGGCCCGCCTTAATAAGAAAATAAATAATAAAATCTCTACAACTAAGGCTAAAAATGTGAACCACTACATTAACAATAAGTAACACATTATTCTTTAAACAAACAAGATTTTAAATTTCCCAAACAAGCAATTATAGCAAAAACAATTTAAGTTTAATTCATTTATATGTTTATATTATTTCAAAGAAATAAAAATTAGTCAATTAACATAGTTGGTCATTCAAAACATTAACAAAAAAAGTTTTTTGGTTGACAGAACAGAGTAAAATTTGAAATACAGGGCGATAACACTGGAAGGTTAAAAGAAAATAAACTACTTTGAGTAGTAATAAATAAAATGTGTAAAATGAAATGTCACAAAGCTTAAGGATTCATAAAAGCAAAGTATTGGATCAAAAAGTCACTACATATTTAAAGTAATGGTGGAGGTCTGAAACAATAATTTCAAAATCCAACCCAGAGGTCAGTTTTCAAAAAGGGTTGTTATTAACGCTGGATATCGAACTCATACCAACCAATTATTCATCCAAGGGCGAAAACAATATCAAATTATTAATACGTTTAAAAAGTAGTACAAATAAATTATTTGTAGGAAATACGAGAGATATGGCAATAAGAATAAGAAAGTAACAAGCGGAGGCTCATTAGCAAAAATTAAGCACATCTAATCAATAAAAAAATCTAAATGTCTTTTTCTGAGTGCAAATTTAAAAGGAAGTTGATATTTCTACCTTTGAGTACAGGACTATAGGAAAGGTTGTATTTTATAATTTATTTACTTCTATCTATCACTATTCACATATGTATTTTTGTTGGCTTTGTGTAATGGAGCATTACAAATATGTATGTTAATATTATGTAAGTAAACTAAACCAAACACTAAACTAGATTTCAAATCCAAATCTCTCAAAAGTTATTTTTGGTTTCCAAACCTCTTTTTCATTCCCTCACATACATGCAGGCACAATTACAGTATAAATCAATCTAACATTTATTCACAGTGTTGAGACACCTTTAAGTCGATCATTTACAGTCAGACTGAGAATTTGAGTGGAGTCTCTTGCATTTCCAAATTCAATTCAATTCAGTTTATTTATATAGCGCCAATTCAAAACACATGTCATCTCAAGGCACTTTACAGTTCACCAGATCATACAGTCCAATTGATTCAAAGTTTTCTATCTAAGGAAAACCAGTTGATTGCATCGACTCATTGACTCAAATGCAATCCCTCACACTAAGCATGCTTGTAGCGACAGTGGAGAGGAAAAACTCCCTTTTAACAGGAAGAAACCTCCAGCAGAACCAGGCTCAGTGTGAGCGGCCATCTGCCGAGGCCGACTGGGGTTCAAGGAGACAGAAGCAGAGATAGAAAAGGTAACTGTAAAAGGCGGCCCCGTCCAGGAAACACACAGCCAGGCAGACGAGCACCGAGCCAGCTCCCATGTCAGAGGATGAAGAGAGCACATCCAGCCAGTCACAGTCAGAGAAACAGGACTACACTGAAAAACAGGCTGAACTCCAACATCCAAAAACAAGGGTGTTGATGGAAGCAGCACAGCTGATGTTTCTCTCCAGGATGACGTCACAGCCAAACAGGAACAGACGAGGCAAAGCTATTATGAGAAAAAGCAGAGAGAGCAGAACGTTAGAGATTGAACTAACAGATTCTGCAGAGTGGGAGAATAGAGATAGAACGAAGCAGAATGATGAAATAGGGGTCCCTATGTCCTCCATCAGTATAAGCCTATAGTAGCATAACTATAGAGATAGCTCAGGATAACCTGAGCCACTCTAACTATAAGCTTTATCAAAAAGGAAAGTTTTAAGCCTAGCCTTAAAAGTAGACAGGATGTCTGCCTTTTAGACTAAAACTGGTAGTTGGTTCCACAGGAGAGGAGCCTGATGACTAAAAGATCTGCCTCCCATTCTACTTTTAGAAATTCTAGGAACCACTAGTAAACCTGCAGATTGAGAGCGAAGTGCTCTGTTAGGAATATAAGGAACAATCAGATCTCTGATATAAGATGGAGCTTGGCCATTTAAGGCTTTATATGTGAGAAGGAGGATTTTAAATTCTATTCTTGATTTAACAGGAAGCCAATGAGGAGAAGCCAGGATAGGAGAGATATGATCTCTCTTTTTAATTTTCATCAAAACTCTGGCTCCAGCATTTTGGATCAGCTGAAGGCTTTTAACTACAGTTTGTGGACTTCCTGATAGTAAAAAATTACAATAGTCCAGCCTTGAAGTAACAAAAAACTAGTTTCTCAGCATCACCCCTGGTCAGGATATTTCTAATTTCTGTAATATTCCTCAGATGAAAGAAGGAAATTCTAGAAACCTCCTGGATATGGGATTTAAATGACAGGTCCTGATCAAAAATAACATCAAGATTTTTTACTTTATTATCTGAAATCAGTTTAATCCCATCCAAATGAAGTGACTGGCTAATCAGCTTATTTTTCAAAGACTCTGGTCCAAAGACTTTAACTCCTGTTTTGTCTGCATTCAGGAGCATAAAGTTAAGAGTCATCCAGGTTTTTAAGTCTTCAAGACATGCCTGTAATCTATGTAATGGGTTAACTTCATCTGGATTTATAGACAGATATAGCCGAGTATCATCAGCATAACAGTGGAAATGAATCCCATGCTGTCTAATAACTCTACCGATTGGGAGTATATATATAGTAAGGAGAATTGGTCCCAGCACTGATCCCTGTGGTACTCCACAGGTAACCTTTGAGCGTGTTGAAGATCTATCATTAACATGAACAAACTGAATATGATCAGATAGATCAGATTTAAACCAGTCTAGTGCTGTTCCTTTAATTCCAACAAAATATTCAAGTCTTTCTAAAAGAATATTATGGTCAACTGTATCAAATGCAGCACTAAGATCCAACAGGACGAGCACAGATACAAGTCCATTATCTGAGACCATGAGAATATCATTAGCAACCTTCACCAGAGCTGTTTCAGTGCTTTGATGAGCTCTAAAGCCAGACTGAAACTCTTCAAAAAGTTCATTAGGGTGTAAGTGATCGCAAACTTGTTCGGCAACTACTTTCTTAACAATTTTAGATAAGAAAGGAAGATTGAACTCAAAAGCGTTACAATCTGTCTTCAGTCGCTCACCTAGTAATTATCAGGCGTGCCAAAAGTCAGACCTTGAGGGCCGCTGTCATGCAGGTTGTAAAGGTTTCCCTGCTTCAGCTCAGCTGATTCTGTTGATTGCAGTTCACTAAAAGCCTGTCAATCACCCATCAATGAAAATCAGCTGTGATGAAGGAGGGAATCCTCTAAATCCTGCAGGACAGCGCCCCTGGGGGGCCGACTTGGGACAACTGATCAGCATGTATCTTCATCCTCTGGGCATGTCATCAGCCCAAAGACACACAGCTAAATTTAGAGGCTTTTTTCTGCATTTATTTGTTGCAATTTTGTTGAATTATAAAGTTGAAAACCTTTCAGTCAATGCATAAAGAAAACAGCTCTAAAGCCATTCAGTAGGAGCCCTGTTGTAATACTGACTTGTCTCAGATGATTAACCTGTTTTTATTTATTTATTTTTTTATTCTGTTGGTTTTCAATTAAGCAAATCACCCTTTGCAGCTGGGGAAACAGGATCAACAGACCACACCTAAAGAAAGTAGATAGGATCAGCAGTTTTATCACGGGATGTATTCAGGAGCCAGATCCTGACATCTAAGGCTATCTCTATAGAGGTCATTTACCTTTTTATTCAAAAAAGAAATAAATTTCTTATATCAATTTAAAAGTCATTCCTTTAATGTTTTTTTATGTCTGAAAGGGACTTTCTTTGTGATTCAGTCCCAGCTACCGTTTGCGATAAAGGATTCCAGTTGTTTTCTCCCGATTCTGTTCTAAAATCAACAGTTTACAACATGATTGCCTGTAAGATCATCAGAGTTTGACCCCTAACAACCATGATAATAGATTAGAAAGGGAGATCTAGCAGGGAACTGCCTTCTCCCTTCTAGCACTTTCTTTAGGTCCATCTTATGAAGGTGCAGTCTGTCTAACGCTTCCTGTTACCTTGACAGGGAAGTCATTCCACATTTAGCTTTTATTGTTTAACCATGTAAATAGCTCCCTTATCTCTATTGTGCCGTCCACCTTATTGCCACATTGCAAATTCTTAGACTTCTGTTTATTTCTCTAAGGAAGATCCTCTCTTTCTGCAGATTTTAGGGCAGCGGGTTTAAAAATGAAAGGTAACATTTCAGTGTGAGGATTTAAAAGAGTAAAAAAAAAAAAAAACAACCGAAGGAGACACCCAGTTTGGGGCAGCTGGTGACGCTGGGTGGCTCTTCCTTCGTGGGAGCAAAGTCAAAGAGCCATAAAGTGAGACAATGTTGGTGAAGGTTCCTGTGTTACAGTCATTCAAGGAAAAGATCCCTCAGCAGTGATCGAGGGCTTCGACCACACAGACACCTGTTCTCAGGTAAGAACTGAAGGTTTCTGTTATTAGAAAAAAAGATTTAAATCTGATATGATTCTGGTGTCAACTTGTTCTAAAGGGCGACAAATACGTTCAGGATTTAATAACTTCTTTCTTTAACTTGTGTCTCTGTCTTTGAATTAATTAATTCATTGATTACTTGTGCGGAGAACTGTCCCATTTAACTTTACTCGTTTCTCTGTAGATCTAATTCAAGTTCTCATAGAACGTTGTTGATCTTTTAATAGATCAACTAAGTTTCTACCATGCTGCATTTAAGTAAGGTATGTTCAGAGATTCTGATTATGTTATAAACATTAATAAGCTTTAGATTCACCATGAAAGGTCAACCTGAGGACTAACTCTGCTTTTTCTGACCAGGGGGACTTTGTTTGGGTGGAGACTGGCAGTGGAGTCCCGATCGGCGCAGAAGTCACAGTTGATGACACTGGGCAGCTTCAGCTCATCGATGATGAAGGAAAGGTATAAAACATGTCAAAGTTTGCTTCACTTAAGCCCATGGAAAGGTTATAGAACACCTCTGAAAGGTGTTCACTGTTTACAGGCGCACAAGGTCAAAAAGAAGAACGCGGGGCATATCCGTGCAATGCACCCCACCTCAGTGAAAGGTGTGGACGACATGATTATGCTCGGGGATCTCAACGAGGCCGGGCTGCTCAGGAACCTGCTGGTGCGCCACAAAGAGGGCATCATCTATGTAAGTTTCTATTCCTGTGAGTCCACCCAGTTTTACGACGTCCATAACCGACTTACTGGGCTGTGTTTGGCTGCTGTGAGACTTTGGCCCCGGATTTATCACATTTCTGTTTGTCTCTATGGAGACTAATAAGCTAGTGTCGTAACATAAACACCTCTGTGTTCCTGCGTCACTGCATCAAAGTTTAGCTGTGTGTGGACAGCCATAAAAAAACAGATATTTGTTTATACTGGTGCATCTTTATAAATCTGAATATTATTAAAAGTTGATTTCTCCTAGTAACTTATATCTCTAACTGAAAAATATTGCATACATTATTTACTCATAAATATTTCCAAGCTTTCATATTAAGGGTGTAAAATCATCAGCTTCATCACGACTTAATGTTCTATCGATTTGCTTGGAGGGAAATACAGAGTAATATTGATTTGATTTAAAACTATGAGATGTTAAATCTATTTGCTTGGAAAACAATGCAGTTTTATTTTGATTTGTTTATGAATGTATATGATGTTGTATTATTTGCTTGAAATTGATACAATATAATAATAAGTGCTTTGAAAAGCAATAATAAACCTTTTTTATTCATTTTTTTTAGATAAACAATATGTTAACAATGAAAACTGATGTGATAATGATTTGTTTAGAAAATGACCAATGTTAGGTCAGCTGGCTTGGAAGAGGATATGATGTTTTATCATTATGTTTAGAAAAAGAAACAATGTTATATCAGGTTGTTAAAAAACGATACATTATATTAATTTGTTAGAAATGCGATGCAATGTTGTGTCGACTTGTTTGGAAAGGAATATGATGCTATTTCGATTTGCTTAGAAAATGATATGTTATATTCATTAATTAGAAAAGTATTTCTGTTGCAATACAATTTCCATGTAGTTAAAATCTCAATCTTGGACCTATGTGATCCGGTATATCTACACTTCAAACATCTATATATATCGCCTTATTTCCAAGCTTTTAGATGTCTCAGGTTAAATAAATCAAATAAGCATTCTTCTAATATTCAAAATAATAATAGCAAAAAACATCTGATGATTTTTGTCTCTTGCATTATGAATTTCAAAATAAAGATGGATCTTAAAGGTGAGAATTTGGATTAATATTTTAATTTTGCATTGATTTAAATGGATTAATTATTATTTAATCAATGTGGGCCAATGTAATAGTACATTTTGATGATTCCTGCATACAGTTTAAGAAAATATTTATAATTAGGATTTAAAAACACAAGACTTTTACAGAAACATAGGCCATCCAGGGCTGCTGTTCTGAAAGGTTTTGGAGGTTTTAGAGGAAAAACTGAAGCAGGGAACCTCTTTAACCTGCAGGGCCAACTTTTGGCAGGCCTCCCTTGGAGCAGAGGTCTCCAACCCTGGTCTTCAAGGTCTAATTTCCTGCAGGTTTTAGACATCTAAATCAAATGAATGGCTTTTTACTAAGCCTTTGCCAAACTTGATGGCATGCTGACAAAGGTAATTCAGTCATTTGATTCTAATGTGTTGAAGCAGGGATGCATCTAAAACCTGCAGGACAGTAGATCTTGAGAACCACTGTTGGAGAACCCGGCCTTAGAGCATAAAACTCCTGGTTTTTGACATGTGCCTCTTACCCACTGACCATCATTAAATGGCACAGCTACATTTTGGCACTTTAAGAACGATTAACTATTAATGTATAGCTGCATTTGTCTCTTAAACTATTTTTTAGAACACTAAAAACAGGTCATATTCCAGGTTACTGGATCTAAATGTATTTGAATGCAACACGTTGTAAACATCAAATAAATACAGGAAGCAAGTGTTTGACAAGCTTAATAATATAGAGAGACACCACTGCGGAACAGTAGAAATGCTTTGAAATGTTGTATTGAAGGAAGACACTTTGCAGTCTTTCATTGACTCATGTGATTATGTGTCTCACAGTCAATGATGAGTGCAGATAATCACATGGATGTTTACGCTCAATGGTCAATGTGCCCGAAGCGCTGCGGCCGGGACGAACACGGGTCATCTGCCTCATATGATTGTCTTTATGCTCATCAGCCTCAACAGACCTGCTTGTGTTTGACAGTAAACATCTCCCTCCCTTTGTTCCCAGACGTACACAGGCTCCATTCTGGTGGCAGTGAACCCATACCAGCTGCTGCCCATCTACACCACGGAGCAAGTGCACATGTACACAGACAGGCGGCTGGGGGAGCTGCCCCCCCATGTGTTTGCCATCGCAGACACCTGCTTTTTCAACATGAGGCGCAACAAGAAGAGCCAGTGCTGTGTCATCAGGTGGGCAGGGAAGAGTTACACTGATGTTTTATTATTTTAAGCTATTTCCATCTTGGTAAAATAATTTACATGATAGAAAGACTTTTCTGTAGCTTCTATTTTTGCGTATCTCAGACATCTCATGCTGGTGGCATTTTGAACTATTACACAATTGTTTTTCCTCAAAGTAATTAAAGATGACTTCCACTGATAGGTTACACCACATTTAAATGATGTGTAACAAGCCTTAAAATTAATCATTTTTTGAATAAAACCTCTTACTCTGACAATTCACTGCAAAATAGTGTCCATCTAACCAAGTCTTACAATCTAGAAATATTTTGACCTTGTTTTGAGATTAATGTACTAAGCAATAGCAGATAATGTTAGATTATCAGTTTTTTTTAAAGCAGATTCTACTCAAAACTAAGTGCAATAATCTTCCTGTGCAGTAAATAAATTGCACTTGTTAAGACTTCTTGCAGTCTGGATATAAATTCTCAAAACTATCAGTTTTACTTGAAGTGACATATTATTGCAATAATATTGAGTAGAAGTTTCTCAAAAATGGATTAATAATCTAACCTACATAGTAAGAAGGACACTTTTTGCAATGCAAGAAATAAAATCACATTTAATTACCTTTTTTTAAGTAGTGGTAAAAAGGGTTTGCTCGCTTTAATGAATTTATTGTATCTGGTATGTTTTCTCATAAATATTTCAAACAATTACAAATTTTAAATATTACTCGTAAATGTGTAAATGTAGCATTTGGTGCATCAAAAACAAAACTCTGTAACATAAATGAACGGTAATGTTTAGTTTCTGTAGCCACACCCAGGCTTGATTACTGGAGCTCCTGATCTCAGTCGGGAATACGCCTAAATAGCACCTGCCTAACAAAGATAAATACACTTAAAGATTCTCCAGCAATGAACATCATCATCATCATCATCATCATTATGGTAGATTGTTTAGTCTGAAGAAGCCGTTTTAAGACTGTGAGACTTAGTGAGAGCCATTGTCCCAGATGCCAAAACAAGTGGAACCTTCCTAAGAGAGGCTGGTGGAGCAACATAACTCCCAGGGCAATTACCCATTTATCTATTGAGTGAATTTTGTTCCAATATTGTTGCAAAGAACATGTTTTGTAAATAAGAAATTTCAGAGAACAAATTATTTTTCATATTTCATATCTTCAAACTCTTTTCTTTTTTCTATTTCACATTTTTTTTCAGATAATATTCTCTTCACTTCAGTGCTCATTCTTGAGCAGTAAGAATATAAACCAACAGAAATGCACCTTTGCTCCTCACTCAAAGGAAAGCCCGGCTCCAGTAGCAAAGAGAAAAACAGTAAAACATAATAAAAAAAAAATGAAATTCCTAAAAATCAAACGAAAAGCGAAAAAAAAAAAAAAGAAAATTGAAAAAATTAAGATATTTTTTTTAGGAAAAAAAAACTGAATGATTTAAACAAATAAAATCGGAGAAAACAACAGAGTTTCAAATTAATAAAAGGACATTTTTATGGCTGAATTGCTCTTTTCCACATATAAACCCTTGTCTTTGTTTGCATTAACAATCCAACAGAATTCGCTCCACATTCATCCAGAAGGGAACAAAAGCAAATAGAACAGCATCCAAAGAACTGCCGGTTTGACTTGGTATAACAACAAAATGAAAGAGAGAACGGACTAAATTAATTGCATGACAGGGGTTCCACACTAAGGAAAAGACATAAAAGCCTCATCTGAGTTTTAACAGAAGACATTTTTATGATCTCCATGATTTATAGGATAATACACAGTGCAATAATGAGACAAAGGTTGAACTGTTTGGCATAAAAGTAAATCAGCATCTTAGCAAAGACTCACCAAAGTGTCAAAGGTAGCATGATGCCCTGGGTTTGTTTAGCTGCCTCAACATCTGGAGGACTTGCTGTAGTGAGTGGAGGCATACATTTAATGTCTACTAAACCACCCTGAAGGAGAATATCCAGCTATATGTGACCTCTAAGGGCAGCACAGCTTAGTTCAGCAGGACGTTGATCCTAAACAAAATAGACTTTGGAAGAAGACCGTAGCCTGAAATCCATTTCAGATGCTGCTAAATCAATTTAACAAGTTGGATTAGATTTAAATAGGGGAGTGTTGACAGTTCAATTCTATCGTTCAATGAGGACAAATTAAAGCAGTTCTTGTCATAAACCGAGGACAGATGGACCCAGTATTCAAGGAGAGACAGTCAGTAGGAAAGTTCAAAACGTTTAATAATAAACAAAACAAAAACTAAAGTGGAGCTGTGGCTCACGGACACTGCAGGATGGGGAGCGGGGCGCTGCCCAATCACAGACTCTCTCTGCAGGAGAAACACAGGTCAGTGACCACGATCATCTGACAGAAGATGATTATCTGAGTTGGCCACTTACCTGGTTTAACAGTCCAGACCAAGAATGTCCCCAAGTGCTGCAGTCCCAGAGGACATGCTGGAAGCTGATCCTGGTCAGGGATCCAGAACAGACAGGAACAGAGAACAGGCAGGATCCAGATCAGGCAGGAACAGAAACAGGTGGCAGGATCCAGACTTCCAGGCATCCACAAGCTCCCAGGAGGGTTCAGAGTCTGACAGGGACCAGGTGGTCACGCACAGGAGCAGACAGGATCAGGTTCAGATGAACAGGCTCAGTGGAAGAGGGTAGCCGAGACAGAACGTGGAACCAGAACTTGATGCAGGACTTTAAAATGGTCTCCTCCCTGGAGCCAGGCTTACTGAGATAAAAACTGAACCTCCCCACATATAGAGCCAAAAACCCAGAGGACTCCGTGGGGGAGGAACAGTGGACGATCAGGAGACGAGACAAACACTAAAACCTCTTTCCACTTGCCGCCAGGATCCAGGACATGAACCATGAATCAAAATAACAAACAGGTTAACAGAAAGACAAATAATGATCTGGCACTGAATGCTCAGGCTGAACTGAATATAACCAAGAGGAAACAGGTGAGAGGAATAAATTATAATTGAGGCAGGGAGGGAAAACGACAGGTGAAAGGAATGACTAATTAAGGGAGAGCAAACAGGCCAGATCATGACAGTACAAAGATGAATGGGTCACATCTCCTCCACAGCCCTGTTAAAGACTCAAAACCTTCTTTACAAATGCTTATTTGCTTTAGAATGCAATCACCTTTTTCTATATGGATTTTCTTTCCATTTCAAAGCACTTCATCTGAATAATAATTATGTGTTTGGTTCTGTTATCTTTTTTATAATATTTAGATTCGTTCAATTATGTCATTTTTGTGTGACAGATGAGGAAAAATAAAATTAAACACTTCCCTCCACCTTGTTTAATGTTTGGTAGTGATTTTGTAGTAGCCAAAAAAATAACTAATTACTAAATGAGTCAATGGTAATGACTAACATCCCTGCATGCTTCCCCAGCGGAGAGTCCGGAGCAGGGAAAACAGAGAGCACCAAGCTGATGTTGCAGTTCCTGGCTGCGGTGAGCGGCCAGCACTCGTGGATCGAGCAGCAGATTCTGGAGGCCAACCCCATCCTGGAAGGTCAGAGGCAGCAAACATTAAAGTCCTCTAAATCACACCTGTCCGCTCTCATCTCCTGATTGGATTATTCTTTCCTTTCAGCCTTTGGTAACGCCAAAACCATTCGCAACGACAATTCCAGCCGATTTGGAAAGTACATTGATGTCAACTTTACCAAGGGTGGGGCCATTGAGGGGGCCCGTGTGGAGCAGTACCTACTGGAGAAGTCCAGGGTTTGTCGCCAGGTGGGGAAATTAGCAGAGTGGTTTTCCTCTGATATAATAGTTTGTTGATTAGGACTAAAGACCATTTTGGTTTGTGAACAGGCGCCTGAGGAAAGAAACTACCACATCTTTTACTACATGGTGATGGGGATGTCTCCAGACCAGAAAAAGATTCTTTCTCTTGGAACGGCTGCAGAGTACAAATACCTGACCATGGTATTCATCTGATCTACCTTCTTTATGGAAATTGTGCAATGAAAAGTTCCTGGTGCATGTTCAGTTTTAAATCCTGTTTTTTAACAGGGTAACTGCACCAGCTGTGAAGGACGCGATGATGTGAAGGAGTACGCTCACTTCCGTTCAGCTCTGAAGATCCTCATGTTCACAGAGACGGACTCCTGGGAAATCTTCAAACTGCTTGCCGCCCTTCTTCACCTAGGCAATGTGGAGTTTGAAAGTAAGAGATATGTTTTTTGTTTTTTTTTAAATAGTAAAAGTGAATTGTTTCTGGGTCGTGTCTGAATGAAATCTTCTGCATGATTTCAGGCACTATAGTGAAAAACCTGGAGGGCTCCAATGTCGCCAGTTCGTCCCATTTTAACATGGCCAGCAAGCTTTTGGAGGTAGGTGACAAAGTCCTCTGTCAATACAAACAGTAGGCAGAGGTCTTTTCTAAATGCCAGCTTTTGTGTTCTCAGGTGGATCCTGCAGCACTGGAGAAATGTCTGACTCAGCGCTCTGTCACGACCGCCAGAGATACCGTGAACAAACCCCTGAACTCTGAACAAGCTCTAGATGGCAGGGACGCCTTTGTCAAGGTGATGTTCACTACCTTATAGACATATTTGTAGACTCCATCAATGTCAGGGTATTTCATCATTTTCAGCAATAGGCTGAGAAAAATAGTTGCATAATTGTAAAGGGAAATGCAAAATAGTCAATCTTTTAGACAAACCTCCTACTACAGGAAATGGTTCAGCCCTGGTCTCATTGGGGAAGGGAGCATCTGTAAACATCCAATTTCAACTGCACCACAGATTGATAAGCCCATTCTATTCTTCTTCTACTTGTTTGATTCATCCCTTATATGGCTTGTGGTAAAACTCTCAACAGTGCCTTTCTTCTTGCCACTCTTTCATAAATAGCATTTATAGAATACATACAGTAACTCAGGTTGTCCTGGCTTTTGTCCTGCCACCTGAGTTGCACATCGCTGCAGCTCCTCCTGAGTGTCCACTGGCCTATTGGCCGTTTCTCTGATCAATGAATGACAAAAAAGATCAAGCAATCTATGTGTCTGCAGTGGCGGTTGTTTGTATTTGTAAGTTGTTTGTATTTATTTTATTTTACAGGCGATTGTAAAATTAACCACACGGTGAATCATTAAATAGGACAAACTACAAACTACACCAGTTGGGTAGTTCGCCCGGGGCGCAAAATGGGCTAGGACCGCCCCGGTGTCTTTGCGTAGGTTCAAAACTGTGAAAAGATACTGATTGGATTTGTTTAAAAAAAAGTTTTATTGGTATTTTTTAATTTTTGAATATATTGAATGAAAGAGCCTTAATAGATATATTTAGAAAAAGAGATTGCCATGACTATAATATAATATATATATTATATTATATAATTATGCCGGGGTTTTTCTTTTGTTTTTGTAGGCAATATACGGCAGACTTTTCATCTGGGTGGTGACAAAGATCAATACTGCTATTTACAAGCCACCCGAGGATGACCAAGAGGTCCGCCAGTCGATAGGCCTCCTGGACATCTTCGGCTTTGAGAACTTTCACAATAACAGGTTAATGTCTGCAACGGTTTTGTACCTGCTTTTTTTGCAGTTTAATGCTATTGTCTATTATTATGTTATGTAATTAGGTACGTTCTCAAACAGTCATACTTTGCTCTATCTGGGAATCTGGGGATCGATCCCCAGACTTCCGGTTGACTCCCCTTGACCAAGGTGGATGATCAATCGGAGGCAGTGTTTCAGGTCCCCACACTGTCACATCTCTTCCATCCTTTCCCTAGCACATCCTCATTCTCCATGCAGTCTGCCATAACCATTTTTAAACCTATGGACCATTTTTTACCAGCATTGCCAGGATATCCCCTCGCGAAGTTGCCAAGGTGCATAATCATTCAGAAGCATAGAGACAGGACCCCACACTGTCGCAAGTGCCGATGCATCGACCAGGAGTTCAAAACATGGGAAAAACAGTTTACTCTGCAAGGAATAAATTCACAACCTTTATTGAAAATATAAGAATTTATTGACAAAAAAATAATTAAACTCCAAGTCAAACATTTTTCACTTAAAAACTCTTGAACAAGTGGAACTGAGCTACTGTGTACACACAGGAGCTTAGCTTAAAACTATTTTAAAGCAACGAGGATGTGTTCAAAGCAATTCACAATGCAAATCCAAGACGTACACGAAACATAATTTGGTAAAATTATATTTTATTGAAGGATCTGCTTGGCTTCGCTTTTCTGAGGAACAGCTGATAGGTTAGGGAGCCTTTAGCTTCTTAAAATTTTGTTTATTAAGACAATGGAGCTAATAGCTAGCAGACATTAGGGGACTTTTATGAGACTGGACATTTGTTTAGCAATCAAATGTAATGAGCATATCAGCTAAATGTTTCTGTGCTTTGCCTGACAGCTTTGAGCAGCTCTGCATCAACTTCGCCAACGAGCAGCTGCAGCAGTTCTTCGTCAAGCATGTTTTCAAGCTTGAACAGGATGAGTATAACCGTGAGAACATCCTCTGGACGCACATCGACTACCAGGACAACCAGAGCACGCTGGACATTCTGGCCACCAAACCTTTGAATGTGTTGGCTCTTATCGACGAGGAGAGCAACTTCCCAAAGGTCTTTGTCCTTTCTATGGTTTACAGATCCTGGATGTGGACGAGCAGAGCAAGCTTTCATTTCGGACTCTGGTTTATTTTTTTTAGGGTACCGACACCTCCATGCTGTTGAAGTTGAATCAGATTCACAGCAAAGGAACAGTCTACATCCCCCCTAAAAATGACCATGAAACAAAATTTGGAATTCAACACTTTGCTGGAAGGGTTGACTACGATTCAAAAGGTTAGCAGATTCAAAACAACAAATAATTTAGACTTAGATACATTTGTTTTGTCATTTTGTATACACAAGTCTAAACAAAAAGAAAATTAATTCAGAACAGCTCTCTAGACAATCTCTTTCTTCAAAGTGCAGCCTTGACAAGGCAAGCAGCAGCGATGTCAGACGGATCTGGATAGGATCTTTGTATCCAAATTTTTCCCCTGGTGGAAGAGGATCTGATGCTGGAGCATTAGGGGCCTGTTGCCTGGGCCTCCACCCATTAGTTGTTGTTGAGCTGCTACTACTGCCTCCAGCTCCTGAAGCACTCGCTTCTCTTGGCTCAGGGGAGGAATTTGCTAACTAGTATTAGCTTTACTTTGAAGATTTCTGTTAAAATGAAATGCATCATTGAAGTGTCTAAAGCCAAACAGACAAAGTACAGATATTTTATGTCTGCGGGTATTTTTTAAACTTGGTGTTGTTATAGAAAGTGAACAGAGTTTTGAAAGTATCCATGATCCTTTTCAGGTTTCCTTGAGAAGAACCGGGACACTCTTAGTCTGGACCTTATCCAACTGGTGGACACTTCAAGTAACAAACTCCTCAGGCAGACCTTCAGTGCTGAGCTGGGAGCCAGCTCTGACACAGAAAAAAGCGTCAACCCCAGAATGACCATTAACAAGCCTAAAAACATGCGGGTAAACCCAGCCTCTTTGTCCGTAGCTAAGATCTGTAAATGTATTTTGCTTGTGTGACCTCTTCTTCTGCCTTACAGCCCTCGTCTGACGGCAAGAAGCGCGTGCCGACTCTGTCCGCCCAGTTCCGTCAGTCTCTGGATTCCCTGATGAAGACGCTGACTGCGTGCCAGCCTTACTTCATCCGCTGCATCAAACCCAACGACTATAAGAAGCCCATGGTGAGCAGGGCGACCGTGCACTCAGTCTGAAAGCAAATACCTGAAGCTGTGAGTAAAACCAATCTTTGTGTCAGCTGTTCGACAGAGACCTGTGCGTACGACAGCTGCGTTACTCCGGCATGATGGAGACAATCAAGATCAGGAAGGCCGGTTATCCTGTCCGATACACCTTCAGCGACTTCTTAAACCGCTACCGTGTCCTTCTGAGGACCTCAGTCTGTGACCCCAACACCGTGAGAAATTTTCCCTATAATTCTATCTTTTTGAGCATTTTTTTTCTCCAGAATATTTGACCTTTTTCTCAAGACAACCTCTCTGCTGTAAACAGGAAAGCAAAGAACAATGCTGTGAAAGCATTTGTAGAAGAGTTCTTACCGGAGATGGCGACTGGAAGACGGGCAAGACGAAGATATTCCTAAAGGTGATCCATATAGATGGATGGGAGGTCAAAGGCTTCCCCTTTTTTTTCACATTTTCACATATAAAAGAAAGCTATATGTAACTTTTAAAGCCCAGAGGGTATTTAGAAAGGATTGACTGCCTAAAAATACACTAATAAAGTATTATAGAACACCTCCACTTTAATTAGGTCTAAACGCAAACTTTTGGTACCTGTTCAAATGTAAGAGAACAATATCTTGCCTTACAAAAAGTAAAAAAACACACCATGGAATTCATGTTGAAAACTGATAGGCTACCTGAAGTTAGTATTTATTAACATTTTTAATATACGTAACTGTTTCTTAGTTAGGCTGAAGCAATGAAAGTGTATTTAATACACAATGGTTTATTTGAGCCATTCATTGTACCAGTGCATTTTCTCCTGGCATAATTTAGCCAAAGCTAAGCAAACTTTTACTCCATCGAAGAGAATCTGTTAATTTCTATTGTAGGACTCCTTCTGCCTATGGCTGAGCCTTTGATAATGATATCTACGATGTATGGCATTAACTATTTTTGAGCTGTTTGTGGAACGAGTTTTGCTTAAAGCTCAGAGGTAGATAAAATTGCACAGAAAAATTTTTCTGGAAATAAGTAAAAAATTGCTTGAATTAAGTGTATTTACCTTTGATTTTGTTAATATGGAAGTTATGTCCCCTTGAAGGCGGCTGCGCCTCAGAACTTCCCTACCGGTTCTTTTCCTGGGAGCAAGTTATTTACTACTCTTAACTCAAACTGGGTAAAACCATATAAAAAAGAACTATAAAACCAGGAGTAAAAAAGTAACAGAGTTTATTCCAGATCAGGTTGTTACAGGACAGAGAAATTGCTTGGAGTTGGCACAGCTGTGGGCTCAAAAAACGTCAGCGAGCGTTCGGCAAAGACTGAGCAAAGATTAAACCCCGAACAAGGTCATCTCCTCCTTCTTATACCTCATGAGTCCATGTTTTGCATCAGGTGGATGCTCAGCTGTCCGTATCAGAAACTGACATGCCATCCATGCCTTGAACTTCATGCATCTTGCCTCTTTACCCCAGGATTACACATAGCTCTCCTTTATCAGTCCGGCTCCAAGATGTGCCCATATCCTTTGTATTTTTAAAGACACGAAGGCTGTCCTGATTAGATGACCTCCGTACACACAGTGACATCCACAATGTGAAGGAAGGCCTTCTACTCCATCTAATCTGGCTAACAAAGTAACAACTCATATGATGTATAAAGAATAAACCTAACAATTTGAATACTGTAGGTAAAAGAGATCTTTTCCCAATGGAATGAGTATTTTTACTCTTAAAATAAGACAATTCGATAATATGCACTTGAAATAAGACAATGTAATTGTGTTTTCTATTTTAAATCTGAATTGTCTTGTTCCATCATCAAAAGGTCTCTTTTAGAACGACAATTCAAGAACAAATGCACTTATTTTAAGAAAAAATGACTTATCTAGATTTAAATTTTTTACAATGTGACCACCACTTTTTTAACCTCCGTTGTGTTTGACTGTGTTTGAAGTGACTAGAGCTGAATGATCAATTGATGTCTGCCCAGCAATATATTTAACACTCATCTAGAGATGGTGAATGTGCTGAAAAAGACATTAAATTTGACCTTTTGTTTCTTTCAGTTTGTGATTATAGGCTGAAAATCAAACACTAACCTCAGCATCATCAGTTACCACAAGTGTTCAGCAGTATTTTCTTAAATTTCTCATTGAACAGACTTGCACATAGGCAATAGAAAATGTTTGGGACCTTCCTCGTGGGCAGAGATCTATTGCTCATATCAAATGCTGTTTTTCTCGTAGGACTTCCATGACACAACGCTTGAACTGGAGCGAATGAAAGAGTTACATGTTAAGGCTCTTGTGATCCAAAGAGTCCTGAAGGGCTACAAATACAGGTATGGGAGAAAATGTATTCGAATTAATAAGGGTTTTGTTGGAGTGTTTTCATTGTACCTATAATTTCATGTGTGTCTGGGTCATTCCCTTTAAAGGAGAGAATTCCTGAGGAAAAGATCCGCTGCCATTGTCATTCAGAAAAACTGGCGAGGATACAAAGGCAGGAAGCAGTTCAAAGCGGTGGGTTAACGTCGGCCATATCTCTGTTAGCTGATGTATACAGAAACATAACGTAACAGGCTTAAACCTCGATTGATGTTGCCGTTTTTAGGTGCAGCTGGGCTTTGCCAGGCTGCAGGCACTCTCTCGGTCTCGCCAGCTCCACCTCAGCTACCTGAAGAAACGGCAGGCGGCTCTGGTGCTGCAGACCCACATAAGAGGTTACCTGGCCAGGAAGGAGTGGAAACGCAAGAGAAATGCCGTGATCCTGCTGCAGGCGCACACCAGGTCCATGCTGGCAAAAAGAAAACTCCAAAAGATGCAGAGAGATGTAAGTTCATGTCGACTAACCTATCGTGTAACTCCAAGCACATTACTTTGACAACATTAACTGGACTGACCAGCTTTCTGAACAATAAGAAAAACAAAACTCATTAAGGGGAAATTGTGGTTTTACATCAAATTGGAAGGATACTTCAAATTCTAAGATCATTGCACATAACTAGAAGTCACCCTGGTAGTTTAAAACTTCACAAACACATGGAGAACATTTAAATCCCTCAATTGGACAAGAAGGTATTAGTCCAGATGAGCAGAATGAATCAATGAGAATTGTGTCCCTGTCCACGATAAATTAAGGTTTACATCACAGTGGACTTGCAGGATGAAGCATCTTCAAGGTGGACATAAATTTGTACCCACCCACAAAGACAAGCCCAATACCTTTTGGAGAAAAGAAACAGTCAAGATTTAAGTCTTGGTCACTAGACGCATGTTTGTAACTCATAAGCTCATTACAAAAAATGAAATAAAAGTCTTTTTTTTTTTTTTTACTTGTACTTTACCTTGCATAGGGCAGGTAGTATTACAATTTGCCAGTGGAATACGGTGCCTTATTCTTTTATCTTATATATATATTAGGGGTGGAACGGTTCACAAAATCCACGGTTCGGTTCGGTTCACGGTTTCGTGGTCACGGTTTTCGGTTCAGTTCGGTATATGTTTATTGTTACACCGAAAAATAAAAAAATTAATAAATTATAAAAATTTATGAAAAAATAAAAATGTATGAAATTAATGAAAAAAATCCAAAGAAATTAATGAATTGTAATTATTTTTAATGATCCGCGGAAACCATGGTTCATTTTCACATGTTTTGCTGCTTTGACTTTAATCATCTCGCCATGCCCTCTATGATCTCCAAGGAACTCTGAGCGGAGCGGACGGGAGCCACAGCGGAGGCTGTAGGCTTTGCTATGTGCAGGCGGTCTGGAGCGCAGCTGGGTGGGGCGGAGCGCTGACGGAGTATGAGGGATTTCGGGGTTAGCATGACGTGTTGGTCATGTTGCT